TTATCGAGCATCTCAGCTCCCTCTGTAAACTGATGGGCCCGGGCTGTAAGGGTAGTCGAACGTGCTCGTCTCCCAGATGATCAAATTCGTGTCGATGGAGGTGTAAATCATCTTAAGCCGGCACTGTCTTTGCCGTCCAAGTTCAATTACGTTGACAACAACGTGGGTGATTGGCGGGTGCTCTGGTGGGGTTTGCTCCTCTTTCCTATCAAACATCTATCGTCCTTTTCTGTCTTGCAACACGTCTTATCTTCGGCATATAGTATTGCAAATGCCGTAAAATACTTACTAAAACTGAGCTAATTGACGAGAACGAAGAAGACATTCGTTACCAGAGTACGAAACCATACGCATGTCACTGGTGGTAGGAGGGCACCACTTGTAGATTTTTATTTTATTTTTACCCCCCCCCCCCTTAACCCGCTCCTCCACCTTTATTGTTTTTGTATGTCTGTCTTGCTTTTCCCTGCACTAAATGACCGTTATTGTGTCTATGTGCTTTTTTAAAACACAAAACCCCTTGTTCAACGTCTATGACCAGTAAACAGGGCCAATTAATGTGTTAATTGTTTCAGTTTCAGGGGTTTTAATTTTAAGTACGTTGTTAGCGGGCGCTACTGGTTGGTCCAACGTCTTTTCTTTCCATCTGTTGTTTCTGTCTATATGTCTTGCTTTTTTCCTGCACTATGCGATCGTTATTATTTGTATCGATTTACTTTTCTTTACTCAAACTCATAATGGAGTTTAACACCGTAAATGAGGGAAAGGAGTAGTTCCCTGCCATACGAGTGGCACCCTCCAACCTCCAGCCTTCTACGTTCTTATTACTTTGTTATTTGATTCCAAGTAGCAGTTCAAGTTCAATGGCATGACAACAATTAATTTATTAACTCAATTCGGGACGTGCATTCTAGCCATACGAAAAAGCTTGAAGAAGTACCGTTTTTGGGGGGCACTATCCTGTCGGAACAGGATGTTATAATCAGGGTTAGTTTATAACGGATTGAGAAGACAACGGATATCAGTGAATATCAAACTCCGAAACCGAATTTAGATTGGTCCAGTCGGGGATGAACTTTATTATCAAGGGTAGCCTTATGAACGAGTCATAAAGACATCGGATATCACACCCCGAAACCAAATTTGTGTTTTTCTTGTTGGAGATAGACTTTATAATAATCAGGGATAGTCTATACATGTTAAATTTTATTACATCGGATATGAAGCTACGAAACCAAACTTGGATTGATTCTATCGGAGATAGGCGTCATAATCTGTGGTAGTCTTGTAAAACATTTCCTTCTCCGCCGTTTTACTGTACCTTGTAGGATTATCATACCAACAAGACTTGCAAAGATGATCCTACAGAGTACTGTTCAAGGAGAGAGAAGGAAAGGCAGAGAGAAAAAGAGATGGGAAGACAACATAACAGATTGGACAGGTTTAAAGTTGAGTGAAGCCCTTCGAAAGGCTGAAAAGAGAGAAGGGTAAAGAAAAGGATCATCCTTGGTGCCCTTACAGTCATACATTGGGTATCAAACCCCGTATCCGATTTACAATCGGGGGAAGAGTACATGTATACAGAGGTAAGAAAACATCGGGCAGGCTTATCTAACTCCGAATCCAAACTTGTATTGGTCCCGTCGGAGACGGACGTTGTTATAATCAGGTATGTGATGTCTTATATAACCGTGCTGTAGTTCTATAGGTCCATTCGTACCTTGTTATCACTCTATAATGTACCTTTAGTGTGATATCTGTACTGTGTGTTGTGTGTCTGTCTGTCTGTCCGTCTGTCCCTCTGTCCCTCTACACACACAAGTACGTGCTTACGTACGTTTGTGTGTGTGTGTGTGTGTGTGTGAGAGAGAGAGAGAGAGAGAGAGAGAGAGAGAGAGAGAGAGAGAGAGAGAATATGAAAGAGAAAGACAGAGAGGAGGGAGGGGCAATAGAGAGAGATACAGACATGGATATAGCACAGAGATAGACAGAGAGTTGATCAGTCCTCACGTATAGATAACGGTTACGTGTTACGTCCTGGAGTTGGTGGTGAGCTGTGGAGTGCTCGAGATCGCCTCGTCAGATGCAGTAACTGTTTGATGTAATGTCCTAAAGAGAACCTTGCCCTGTTAATGTTTTGATAATGGCCTCTTGGCACGCCGGCATGCGTGTATCCTTTTTGTGCGTTTTTGGCGGGTTCACCCGTTTTTGTCCCATATCTTCGCCTTGCAACCCGTTTTTGTCTCACTTTCTCCAGCCTCCATTTTACTCGTTTTCCTCCTACATTTGTAATTTTATTATAATGTTCCGATTACCATTCAATACCTATAATCGACCTCCCTCTCCCCCCCCCTCTCTCTCTCTCTCTCTCTCTCTCTCTCTCTCTCTCTCT